CATGTGATGGCTACTTCAACAGATGTCGGGTACAACATTAAAGACCTCATTCTACCTCCAAGCTTTTACCTTACAGACATCTCTAGCATTATGTTAAACTTTGTGCTTCAAACACGACCAGAAACAAACTTCAAGTGCAGCTGTTCAATCGGTTGCCATGGCAACGTCTGTTCGCTTCACTTTCTACGCAGTATTAAAGCTGATAGGACACTCACTACATGACCACAGCAAATCTCAAAACACGAAACTCCGCTACTGCGGTACTGCATATGCGGAAGGAGCAGCTCAAAATTATGGCGAACTTTCCTTGAAATTTCTATGCCAGAAAACCATTTCCCTACCCCCCCCCACAAAAAATCGTCATCAGATCGAGAACTCACAGACTGGGGCGTTGTCACTGAGACAGAAAAAGACTGTCGACTTTCCCAGGCGTCTCAGATTACGTCATGAAGGATTAATCATTTATCGTACACGTGTGTAGGTCGCCGTGACCTTTCCAGCCGATGATGCATGGGAAAGAAAATTGATTGCCCGGGGGGGGGAAGAGAGTCGATGATTCCCAGGATCTGCTGGAACGTTTAACGACAGTCAGCCTCAACCAGCTATCACAACGCTTCCCCACTACAACTACAACAACAACAACAACAACTCTCCGTCTCAGTCGAATGGTTGGCACTCCTGCATCGTATTCTCTCTCTCTCTCTCTCTCTCTCTCTATACCCGTCTCACACACAACATGCAGTATAAACAATGGTTAAAAGTCTAAATAAATACAGGTATTTCCGTCCTATTGTAATCGAACCTACGTTCGGCAGTTGCACGTAAAAATTGTACGCGACGAATAATCCCGTAGATACGTACCTAAGGGAATTTGGCGTGGGTCAAATTGTTACAATCGAAGGGCAAAGCAAACCAAAGACCTCAGCATGTTTAAAAAACAATGAAATCAAAATTTTCGGGTTTCTACAAGGCCGCGCACCTAAGGCGTACATTTCATGTAAGAAGGGAACGCCATTAATCAGATGATGTTTGTAGTAGTGCAGTGTTGTGTTTTCTTTGAGGTAGGGTCTCAGTTTCTTTACTATACAGATGAGCGTCCTGCTTCAAAGAAATAAATTGCATTTTTTTACTTTTTTGCGAAGTTCCTTCCGCCTTCATCTGCTTAAAAACAGACCGTTTGCAACTCTAGTGATTTTGAAGAATGCTCTTGGCAGTGCATTTTGAACCCTAAAAACGTTTCACTGCAGAAACCAAACTCATTTTCTCCTACGCAACGCAACATCGATGGTAGTGCAAATTTTGTGCCAAAACACAAGGGTTGCAACAAAATGTATGTGACGAATTCCTAATAACAGTCCATACACGAGAGACATGTCAGCTATTCGATGCATCAGTGCAAACAGAAATTAGGGCTTCAGCGGATTACAACTGATAGAAACAGAATAAAGATAAACTTGTCAGGTGCTACGAGGGTCAATATCCAACAGACTACACCATTCAGTATCCTCGGGACAGCCAGCAGCTTACGTGGGTTCAATAAGTTTTAATAAGCGCATCCACAGTGACGACGTAGAAAATAAAACTTGTTTTAGCCGTCAGAGTGGACCTTGGAGAATTATCTTCGTGAGGTTTGCCGACTCTGCAATTGAATTAGCCAATGGCAAGCCAGCTACCAGTCACGCGACTCGAAGACGAGTCCCACCACCGGCCAGCACTGCGTTGCCCGTCGTGAGGAACCTTCAGTCGTGTTGCTTCTCTTCAACCGTCTAGTCCCGGCTGGTCGTCTAGAAGACTACACTAACCTATACAATAATGTCTTAGGAACTTTAGCTAACTTTTTGCCTTGTTGTCAATTCACTTCAATTGAATTGGTAGCAGAATATTAAGGTTTGCTTCAACAGGACTCATCGTCGATGATCGAGCAGCATTCGAACTTCGCGTTAGTTTGCTCGACCTGCAAATGCGCCTGATTCTACATAATCTCGTGCTAAGGAAGAGCAGACAGACTCATTTTTTGATTTGATTTGTTTTGTTTTGTGTTTGTGATGTTTGTGCATTTGTCCAACCACCTTCAGTCTTGTTGCTTCTGTTCAATCCTCCCGTCGTCTAGAAGGCTACACTAACCTATACAAAATTTCTTAGGCACTTTAGCTAACTTTTTGCCTTGTTGTCAATTCACTTCAGTTTAATTGGTAGCAGAATATTAAGGTTTGCTTCAACAGGACTCATCGTTCGATGTCGAGCAGCATTCGAACTTCGCGTTAGTTTGCTGGCTCTCATCTTGAGTAAATTGCTCGACCTGCAAACGCGCCTGATTCTACATAATCTCGTGCTAAGGAAGAGCAGACAGACTCATTTTTTGATTTGATTTGTTTTGTTTTGTGTTTGTGATGTTTGTGCATTTGTCCAACCACCTTCAGTCTTGTTGCTTCTGTTCAATCCTCCCGTCGTCTAGAAGACTACACTAACCTATACAAAATTTCTTAGGCACTTTAGCTAACTTTTTGCCTTGTTGTCAATTCACTTCAATTGAATTGGTAGCAGAATATTAAGGTTTGCTTCAACAGGACTCATCGTTCGATGATCGAGCAGCATTCGAACTTCGCGTTAGTTTGCTCGACCTGCAAATGCGCCTGATTCTACATAATCTCGTGCTAAGGAAGAGCAGACAGACTCATTTTTTGATTTGATTTGTTTTGTTTTGTGTTTGTGATGTTTGTGCATTTGCAGGGTACGTGACGATGGTAATCAAGATGGCTGTCTTCTGGGTAGTTGCGCCGTGTGGCCTGCCTCCATTTTGTCAGGCTACATGGCCGAACATTTCCAAGCACAATTTGGCAACATCGCAGGTGCAGTCATTTCAAAGGGGCTTTGTTTTGGTTTCTAGTGGCGCGTATGGGGCTGGTCACTCCGCCGTCCTGCTTCCTGTGCGAGCAGATAGTAACCGGTTTTCCTCGTGCGTTATCTGTTGAGCTTGCACAATCAAGGATTTCATAAACAATAACGAACGAACCCGCAATTGTAGCAGCTGCGACGGCGTTCGAATTTCCACAGCCTGCACATGGGGCAAAGTCGTGTTTTTTTAAAAAAAACCTAAACAATAGAACCCGTGATAAGTCAAAAGCGGCGGTATTTACTACGCCATTGAAAACAAAGGACACATGGAATTGTAAAGCATGTCACTTCCACTCGACTCTGAAAGAAAGGCGACAATTTGTATTTATCTTTGAAGGGCTGGGGGTGAAAATGTATTTCAAGCCAATGGATGCACCAGTTGGAACACTTTCATGGTTAGGCTTTACGATCTACAAATCTGTTGACCGCTGATATGATCTAATCGAGGCTTTTGACTCTGCGGGCTGCGACACTGCACGACAGCTCAGTTTGATTCAACGATTCTTGCAGTCAGACAACTAATTGATGTTATAAACAATTCCTTTCGAGCACATGCGAAGCTGGACAATGTAAACGTAGACTTTGTTCTTGCAAGTAATCTGCTTCCTCGTACTGGACTCCAAAACACAGTAAGTGAAGCCATAGTTTGAAGTGCAGTTCTTTTAGACAAGTGGTTACGTTACTTGCCTCGGTTGGGGGGCGGGGGAGAGAGAGGGG